GCCACCACTGGAAAACTAATTTGAGCCAGATAGATGGCTCCTCCTACCTTTGTAATCATTGCTGACATTGCTGTATCACAGATGCTCAACCTGGACTTTGAGTTCTCAAGTAAAGAAATACAGGAGCATTCGGACTGGAGAAGTATCCCAGGAGATCTCAAACTGAGGCTCTAGCAAGAGCTTCTAGAAGCAGATGACAGCCTGAAGCAGACAGCTGCCCTAAGACCTGAGGACAAGTAGCTCATGTCAGGTTCCCCCCAAGGCCTCAGAACAAGACCCACCTGGGTGTTTCCTGTTTCCACCTGCTTCTTCACCTTCACCATTAGCCTAGAGATACACCCCAATCCCACCCCACCCCCTGAAACCCTCCACCCCTTCCCATGATCAGTCCCTGCCTTCACTGGGACTTTTTCTCACCAGAGATGAGCCTTCACCTTCATTTTCCTGCCCCTAAGATTAAGAGTTCCAGCTCTCCTCCTACTTGGTCACCCCCACTTGCCCCTCAGCAAGTCAGTTTTGCCCACAGAATCTTTGGCAGGGTTGGGCTGAACTAGTTACCACCTCCTGTCATGTCCCAGGCTGCTGGTGCTGTGCTCCCTTCCTGTGGGCACATCCCAGACCCCTGAAAGCAATTGGAAGATTTATTTTGCCATAATTCTCCCTTTTTTCCCCCCACACTATTTTATTTTATTTTTTTCTTTTTTTAAGATTTATTCATTCATGCATACAAGAACTGGGCAACAGATCAGAGGTGCAGGGGGATGAGAGGATTCACCAGAGACAGAGTGGGGGAACAGAACAGGCAGATTAACTGAAATACACTGCTGAGGGGAGCAGCGGGCAAGACAGGAGAGGTCTGATGTGCCATGTGGGTAGCTCCCTGGATGGCCAGGGATCGAACTCGTTCTACAGAGGCTGTGGATAGCTTCACAGTGCTGTGCTTAGCCCCTTGCACCACCAGGGAGGCCCTCCACTATTTTAAACTGGACAATTGCCCCTGATGAGAAAATGCTTGCCCCTCTTCCAGTCTCTCTTCACAAGGGTCATGTCTGTTCCCACCATAATCCTGCCACACGTGCCTTTCTGGGAACGTACACTTGTCCATCACACTCATCTGTAATTAAACCCAATGTAAGACCCCAGGTCACCAGAGGTTCCCTGGGTATCCCTGACATGAATGGAAAAGTCCACTGCCCCTCCCAGCCTGATTTCTCGGCCCCAGCGCAAGGGCACATGGAACACCTCCCACAAATCCTTTCCCCACCCTCGAAATTAGCATTTTTTGGTCACCGTCAGCCATCAGATACCTAGAAATATACTATTTCCATAAATAAATCATCTGGCCCCAATGATTTTTATTTGGAACCTGCCAGCGAGACTTTGCCAGTCTTATTAATCTCTTTCCCTTACTTGATTCCCCACAACTTTCTCCCTCTCTTAAACTCTCTCTGCAACAATCACCCATTCCCTCTGGTTCACCTTGCTCTCATTATAGGAACAAGAAGTATCCAGAATATCACAAGAACTTTTGGAGGTGATCCTGGTTCCTGGAGAGGCGAATTATTGGGTTGTCGGAAAAGTATTTTTTCTAAAGATTAATTTATTTATTTATACAAGCACTGGGTACAGTCAGAAGCGCGGGAGGGTGAGAGAATTCACCAGAGTCAGAGCCGGGAGCAGAACAGGCAGACTGACGAAACACACTGATGAGGGGAACAGCAGGCGTGACAGGAAAGGTCTGTGTGCCATGTGGGACCTTCGCCAGTGGCCAGGGATCGAACAGGCGCTGCAGAGGCTGCGGGCAGCTTCGCAGCCCAGCGCTTAACCACTGTGCCATCAGGGGAGGCCCGGAAAAGTATTTTTTCTATGCAAAAATGTGTTATGACTTTTCTGACAACCCAGTAGAAAACAAGCAGCTACAGAACTAGGCTTAAGGACCATCCCCAACTTCATTACTTTGGGAGAAAGCTTTGCCCAGAACCATCTCCAGAAATCTATCACTTGATGGAAAAAGTCAGGCCGAACAACAGACTCATCAACTCACTGCCGAAACAATTCACTTTGTCCCTGGAAAACCTCACCACTGGCCTCAAATCAGTGACTCACCAATTAGGAGGAACCCAGCACAATGTTCTCCATAATTGAATCGCCCCCGTGAGGACCTGGGCTGCAGAAGGGGCACTTGCATGGCGGCTGGTGGCTGGCACTCCTACTGCACCTTTGTCCCCGGCCATCTCTCTGATGTCTTTGCAGAAATGAGCCAAGAAATGTGCGCATCACAGCCACGAGGGCTCATGCCACTGAGGAAGGATGACAGTCCTGGATCCCTGAAGGTCTATGAAGTTGGGCGGACAGATGGATTCAGCCGCTAATCTCTGTCTTTCTGTTTATCTTCACGGGATCGTTCTCATTAAATGTCTTGTGGGTGACACAGCACAGCAATTAGCAACCATCACCAAGTCTCAACAGATGGTTCAGTTGGTCCTAAATGAACAAAAGGCAACCAAATGAGACATGGACTTAGATGGTTCGAGGAAAGAAGGAACATTTGTACAGAAAGGGGACTGGCAACAATTCTTTGCTTGATGGAACTTTGGTCAGATCCCCTGAGCCCTCTCCCCTACCAGGCCCATCTCTGGACTTCCTTGTAGGATTCAGTTTTAGCAAGAATCCTGCCAAGTCAGTTTAGCAAAAATCCCCACCCTTGATATCTGATCAAGCTAGTATCCCCTCTGCTCTTCACCCCCATATCTGATTACCCTGACCTGACTTCACCTGAATCAGCCCACACTTGATGTTTTCTCTTGGTAGGTTTCTAGCTAATAGTGTGCCCCCCAAAAAACCTCCCTCCACTTGTTCCTTGTTTATAAACCCCCACTTGTGCTGGCTGTATTCTGAATTGAGCCCAGTTCCATCCTAGTTTTTTTTTTTAAATATTTATTTATATTTGTGCATACAAGAACTGGGGTACAGGCCAGAGGTGCAGTGGGGTTAGAGGATTCACCAGAGACAGAGTGGGGAGCAGAACAGGCAGACTGACTGAAATACACTGCTGAGGGGAGCAGTGGGCGAGTCAGGAGAGGTCTGCTGTGCCATGTGGGTAGCTCCCTGGCTGGCTGGGGATCAAACTTGTGCTGCAGAGGTTACGGATAGCTTCACAGCACTGTGCTTAACCCCCTGCGCCACCCGAGTTTTTTTTAAATAAAACTAGGGAGGCCCTCCATCCTAGTTTTTAAAATAAAACCTCTCTATCACTCATTTCTGTTCCTTCTCTTTGACAGTGCTCCTTTTCTTCATTTGTAGGTTCAAACAGACCTTTTCTGAAGCTCTGCCAGACCTCTCCAGATTTCCAGAGGTGAGGCCCTCAGATAAGGAAAGCTCTCATTTCCGGGGCTGGGAGGTGGCACAGGCTAAGGAAGGTCTCTGCCCTGCTTGCCTATGCTCACCCTCACCTTCTGACCTGCTCCCCACTCCTGTCCAGCAGGTGGTCTGGGCACTCAGCCCCTTTGGATCTTAACCCCATTGAATCTTAAACCCAGCGTCACCCCACCCCCCCACCCCCCCCACCCCCCCCCCCCAACATCAACAGGCCCCCAGCTCAGGCCTTCTCCTGCACACCAACCCCAACTCAAACTGCTCCTGGAACAGAATTAAATCTGGCATGTTAAGCTTGGCAGGCAGGTCTGCCCAATGGTCCAGCCTTTGTGGGACACAGTGTGGCATTGCACTTGCACAAAATAGTGGCCTCCACTTAGACTCCTAATGTGCAGCTAGGCCAGGAAAGAAAGCCCACCTAACCCTCACCCTAGCCTTCGCCCCATGGTACAGATAAAGACATGGAGGCTAAGATAAGGAGGGTAACTTGCCCACCTCGACGTCCCAGGTGAGGGACCCACGGGGGACTTCTGCCTTCTGACCTTACCCTCTGGGCTCCGCAGCGAATCCACGGCGCCCAGCCCCTCACCAGGCAGCTGAGGAAAGGCACTGAGGACCAACGCCGCCTTGGGCTTTTGAGAAGGGCCCTGGGGCCAACAAATTTCTAAATGTGTGTTTGTTTCAGCCTAAAATAGAAACTCGGGTCCCTCCTCCCCCATCCTCTTTCGGGCCTCGGCTGCTGCTCCAGTATCCCACCTACCAGGTGGAAGAAAGAGGGGACTTCATACTTCCTCTCTCCATCTTTGGGGAAGCCGCTTCTGGAGTCAACCTCACTCTCCAAAAGCAAGACTGGGCGTGAGGGAAAGGCGGGCGAACTGAGTAGGGAAAAGGGCCACCTGTGCGTCGGCGCCGCGGGCACCTGCTGACGCGCAGCCCCGGGCTGGGGTCCCGCCCCCGGCCCCGGCCCCCGCCCCCCGCCCGGCTCCGCGCGCAGCCAGAGCGCGCGGGCCCTTTAAGAGCGCGACGGCCGCGGCGCGGGGAGGGGGGCCGGGAGCGCCCGGAGCTGCGCCGAACTCGCCGGGGACGTCGGGCGCCGGCTCCCTGGCTGCGCGCTAGCGGGACCGGCTCCCTGCGCCTCCTCCCGGGACTGCGCGGGGGCCCGGCCCGACAGGGCGCGGGGCGAGCAGCGTCCCCGGCGGGAGGCGCTCTGGGCAGCGCGCGGCCCCGGGCATGGACAGAGGGAGCCGGGCGCGCAGGGGGCGCCGCGGGACCGGGCGGCCGGAGCGCTGAGCCAGACAAAGGCGCGGGAGTTGCGCTCGCTCTCGGGAGCCGGGCCCCGGGCGCCGAGGCTGCGGGACCCCGCGGCGGGCGGCTCCGGCCGGCCGCCTCCCCCGCGCGCGGGCTCCGCGCCCCGGGACCTGCCCTGCCCACTTCTGCCCGGGCGTGGGAATTGGCCGAGGGGGCCCGGCGGCTCGGGCGGGACCGGGACCCGGAGGGCTGCCGCGCGCCCGCCGGGCGGGGAGCCAGGGAGCGTCGCAAGTTTCCGAGGCGCGTGCGGGGACCCGGCGCCGGCGAGCGGGCGAGTCCCGCGCGCTGCGCCCCGAGCCGGCCTGGGCCCCGAGAGCATGGGCAGCGGCGACCGGGGCGCGCCCGGACAGCCCGGCCGGGCGAGCGGCCCCCTCGGTGGCCGGGAGACCGCGGTGCGGCCGCGACTGCTGCCGCTGCTGCTGGTGTTTCTGGGTTGCCTGGGCCGCGGCGCGGCGGCGGAGGACGCAGAAGTCAACGCCGAGGTAAGGACCCCGGCTGCGTGCCTTCGCGGGGGGCTGGAGGGGCTGGGAGGTGGCCACGCCCGTAGTCCGAGGCTGGGAGGTGGAGGGGGCTGAGACGAGCCGAGGTCCCCGCGCAGGGGTGCCGGGGCGGGGAAGAAAGGGGACCTGGCAGGATGCCCCTCCCCGCGCGCCCGCCGCGGCGCACCTCTGCCCAAACCCCGGGGGACGTCGGGCCGGCGCGCGGTCTGGACCCCACGGTCCTGCCCCGGGCGCCGACCCGCCCCGGCCGCTGTCCCGGGAGCCGCTTCTGCGCCCCGGCCCTGGCCTCCCCGCCCCCCGGGTGCTCGATTCCTCGAGAGCCCGGAGGGCGCGCCGCGCCGTGCTTTCCGAGTGGGGAGGGGGCTGGTCTGGGGGTGCGTCGGGGCACCCCGGCTTGGACCGCGAGCGCTCGCGTCTCGGTAGCCGCTAGTCTGGGTGACACGGCCACACGCGGCGGGCCAGGATTGGGGAAACCCGGCAGCAGACTCGGGTGGCGGGGGCGCATCGGCCACTTTCTTGGGCTCTTGGTGGAAAGCCGAGCCACGGACAGGTGGGGTTCAAGAGAGAGACCCTGTCTCCCTCCGCGCTTCCTTCCACAAGAGCCCGGCACTGATCCCCGGGATCAGAGGGCAGACCCCGAATCTCTTTCCTCCGGGAGCCCGCTGAGGTCCCTGCCCTGGATCGGTCCCGCGGGCGGCCAGGCGCGGCCTCCAGGAGCAGAGAGAGAGCTGGGTCCAGCCAGCGCCGCCGGCTCCAGGGGGGTCATCGCCAGCCTCTCCAGCAGGGATAGGCACCCACTTCGTTGCCCCCCAACAAATTCGTGATCCGTTCCTTTGCTGACTTCTAGGACCCGGGTCCCTGCCCTGGAATAGGAGAGGGGAGGGCTCAGCGAGGAGCGGGGGAGCTGAGACCCGCCTTTGCGTGGGCTCAGTGCCCTTGGGCCGGCCTGGAGCCTTGCGCGCCCCGGGCTGCGGGCCCAAGTGCCATTTCTATTTGCAGCGGGTCGGTGCTCTCTCGCCTTCTCCGCGGGCGGCTTCCCCACCTCCCAGCAGCCTGGGAGATTTTTCCGATGGAAGCCTGCCCTTCCCCGCCCTACTTTAATAAAAGCATGGAGGAAGGGCAGGGAATTCCTCCCAGATCAAGTTACACCTCCCAGCCAGTTCCCCACCTGCTCTGCCCTCCCTCCCTGGTCAGGCCGGGGGAAGCTGGGGGAGTCAGCCTCTGGCAGGAGGCTGAGAGCCCAGCCAGTGCCCAGTTCATTTGCCCCAGCCCACCCCCATTCACACAGGCAGATAGATGGGCTCTGTGGGGGCTTCTGCTGCTAGGGTTGGTCCCGCAGCTCACCACCCAGAAACTAGGAGTGCTAGTATCTCACCTGCCACTCCGCAAGTCACAGGCCCTCCCTTGAGGAGTTTGTGATCGGCTTACAGGAGTGGCATCTCCACATAGGAAACATTTATGGGTCCAGCTAGATTTGGGGGAGCCATGCATTGTGAATTGGCATCCTAGGAACTGGGCACTGGACCTGTGTCCAGAGGCTTCACTTTCTTTCCTTTGCTTCTGCTCCTGCATGCCTTCACCCCCTCCCCAGTGGAGGGAGCCCCCACAGTCTAAGGATGGAGGTATTGGCAGCCATGAGTACCCACAGACCTTGGCGCTGAGCCTGTGGTGGCACTGGCTAGGATTCCGTGACAGCCCCTCTCCTCTCTGGCTGTTGCTGGAAGAAACCCTGCAAGATGTAGGGGATCCTTCAGTTTTGGAAACCAAGGTAGATGGAGAGCTAGGGACAGGCAGGCAGACTGTCTCAGCTCCTACAGTTGGTTTGGGGGTATACATTGTCCCTCGGAATCTGCCAAGTCTGACCCTTTTGGACCCAAAGAGTCAAATAGCGCAGTAACTGCCCATTGCCAGGAGGCTGTAGGGAATTACCCCACCTCATGTCCACACTCTCCCAGGAGAGGCCTTGGAGACCCCGGCCCTGACCTGCACCCTATGAGCGGAGCCTGCTGCCCTTGGAGAAGGGCACTGGTCCTTGTCCCAGAATCCCCACAGCTCCAATCATCAGCTCAGGTCATGCTTGGGATCTTCCCTGAGCAGCCTCACAACTGGGCCTAGCTGGCCCCTCCCCTCCTGGAGCAGAAACCACAGGAGTTTCACCAGGCTAAGGAACAAGGAAGCCTGGCCCGGGCTAGAAGCCTGCAGACACCTGCCACCTGCCAGGTGTCAGGTCCCAGTCTCCAGCCAGGTTGGCCTGACTGAGGTGCTCCCCAACTCAACCGAACCCCACCTGAGGGTCCAGGCCCCATTCAGCTCTGTCCTGCTTTTCCTGGCTACAGCACCCCCCCACCCCTGCTTCCCTGCCTTAGATTTTCACCAGAGAAGCTCTGGTCTCTTCGCACTTTCCCTGCCCCAGCCCCGCAGCCTCTGGGTGGAGGTGACTCACACTGCCTGCGGGAGCACACAGGTGTGGTAGCACTGCCTAAAGCATGGCCACACCCACCCCTGAATAGGGGTCTTCCAGTCCCTGCCAGGCAGCTGAGCAAAATGAATACAGGGGTGGGGGCCATTGGCTGGAATTCTGATTCTGACCTTCAGGTCTGCTTGGTGAGCCGGGCCACTTCGGGTACTCCCACCTCCGCTCCTACCTCCCTGCTGGCCCCTGGGGTTCCCTGGTGCTCGCTTATTAACACCCTGTCTTAAAAATGAGCAGGACTTTGGGCCTCCCCGGTGGCGCAGCGGTTGAGCGCTGGGTTGCGAAACTGAGCGCGGCCTCTGCGGCGCCGGTTCGATCCCCAGCTGCTCCCCGGCCGCCGGAGGAGGATCCCACATGGCGCGCAAACCTCTCCTGCCGCCCGCTGCTCCCCTCAGCAGTGTACTTCGGTCCTTCTGCCTGCTCTGCTCCCCGCTCTGGCTCTGGTGAATTCTCTCACCCTCCCAAGCTTCTGACTGTACCCAGTGCATGTATAAACAAAACAAACAAACCAGCAAACAAATAAATAAAGCATGCCTCTATAAAAAAAAAAAACAAAAAAAAAAAACAAAAAAAAAAAAAAAAAAAAAAAAAAAAAAAAAAAAAAAAAAATGAGCAGGACTTTGAGGCCTCTCCCCCTCAAGGAAGAGGGGTGAATGTGAGGTCATTGTTATCCCTCCTCTCCTCTCTGCTTTTCAGTCTGTTCTCCCGTCACCACTAGTGAGCCCATCCCCCATCCTCTCCATACTTTCTCAAAACCCGGAGAGAGCTGGGCTGATGGATGCAGCCAGGACCAGGATCCACTGGGCAGCGCCCCACCCTCCAGCCCTTTGCCAGGTCTCCCTATTTGGACTGCCCCGGGGCTTGCTCCTTGGCTGTGCAGGAGGCAGCCCACCTGCCCATTCTGACCCATGGGCACAAATGCCTTCCTGCCACACCCCCTCCCCCAAAGAGGGTGGAGTAGAAGCAACATAGAAACACACTCAGACCCCCCCAGAGAAGACCCTCTGAAATCCCAGCACCTGCTGTGCATATTCTCTGCTGCCAACTCGGGATGGTAATGCTGGCAGGTCTGGAAAAGCCCCCCTGGCTGCTCCTTCCTGCGCTCAGGGTTGCTTGATTCAGACCTTTTCTTGCCATCATCACGTTGCCCAGTTGGGAGTGTGACTTCTGCCTGGGGCCAGCTGTGGGGCCGGGTCACTGCTGCTTCCCAGCTCAGATGAAAGTTGGTGCTGTAGTCTCAGTGATTGTAGCTCCCCACCTCCATTCATGTCAAAAATCTAACTGCCAAGTTCATGACATCAGGAGGTGGGGCCTTTGGGAGGTGATTCCATCCTGAAGGCAGAGCCTGTGAGTGGGCTTAGCCTGGGAGAGCTGCCCCGGCCCCTCCCACCACGTGAGGAGCTGGTTAAGAGGCAGCACTCTGCAGCCAGGAAGGGGTGTTCAGCAGAACCCCACCATGCCAGCACCCCGATCTTAGACTTCCAGCCTCCAGAACTGAAAATAAATGTTTGTTGCTATAAGCCATCGGCCTGTTCTGTTATAGCAGACTGGAGAGGGCAAGACGGCTGGCATCTTCAGTATCACCCCAAGATCTGTGTGGCTCACTCAGACAGCCTGGGCGGAGACAGGCCTCTGGGCCAGCTCTACCCTGGGCATGGAGACATATTCTCTGAGTCAGCAGAAGCAGATAGGGCCTGGGGGTTCTCTGCCTGGAGCCTTCTCCATTGCAAAGGGGGCCATCTTTGTAAGGCCTCCACAGGTGAATGTGCAGGAAGGACACTTGCCTGGATTGGGACTCCCCAGACGAACGTGAAGACAGGGGTCTCTGAAGGTGACTGAACAGGCCAGGCCTGCAGCACAGAAGAGCCACCTTGGCTGCGGGAGCCCTCTGACCTAGGGCTCGTGTGTGGATGCTCCCAGAAGGACATGGGTTCTAGGGATGCCTGGAGACCAGTGCTGTGCCCGCACGTTCGGGCGAGGTAGCGCAGATACAGCCATGAGCAAGAGCAGAGAGATGCCAGCTTGCCTGTGTCCGAGAGACAAAGAAGATGCCTCTTTCTAGATCCATTTCCCTTGTGGAACAGCAGGAAAGGAGCAAGAAGGCTCAATAACTGCATAGCCAGTGGAGGGCCTGAGTGCCTGCCACTAGCCAGCCCTCGAGGAGATGCCTCACATGTTGCTGTTTTGGTGGTTGAGCTGCTGGAGCCATGGAGCCCAGGGGCCAGGTCTGGATTGGCTTTCCAGGGCTGGCTCTGGGCCCCAGTACCACCATGTCCTCCCGGAGGGACTGCCACAGTGAAGGGTGAGGGCTCAGCTGCAGGCCCCACAATTGTGAGCGAAGGAGGCACCTAAGAAGTGCTTGCAAAGTGGTGGCAGAGCATAATGACAGTGGGGAGCAAATGGCTTTTTGAGCCATTGAGCCTCTCTGAGCCTCAGTTTCCCCAGCTACTAGGAGAACAGTAATATAACAGTATCTACTGAGGGACTAGGCAAGTTTCTGTGTAAAATG